CTCAGGCTGTGTTGCACACTGAATAAATTGAGGACCTGATTGCAATGTAGACCCATCATAGTGGTTGTGTGGAAGAAAAAGGAGGCTTCCTGAGAGCTCTTTCTTTTTCTCAGGCAGCTCCTGCTGCAAACCCAACCCTTGCCTGGGCACACTCAGGCACCTATGCCACCCTGCACTTCTCCTCTCTCAACACCTTCTGCAATGAGTTGCTCCCCAGAGGAAATGGGTTTGGAGGAATTCTGTCAACCTGGAGGTTTGATGATAGGCTTTTGGTTTTCAGCCAAGACCAAGAGAGGGGACACCCTTGCCTCACTCACCAATGGATCAGAGAGATGCCTGGCAGTCTCTTGGTACCTGCTCCTGGCCTGGCCTGACCTTATGGACCTGCACAATTCCATGCTGGGGAACCAGTAGAGGCATTATTGGCAGGTCTACCAGGTTGGGGCCACTTTATCACATTCCACTGGCAACCACAATTTGTCTTGGCAAGGTGAACCCCTAGGCCTAGCTCCAAGGAGGGCCTGGAGAATGGCCCAAAAAAACCAGCTCTCGCCACAGAAGCCAAAGCTGACTGGGCTTAAGGCAGTGCCAACCTAAATTGGTTGGATCCTCCCCTATCCTCTGAAAGGTGAACTCAGTACTGGGTGAGTGGCACAGGGGTGGCTAGGCTCCCAGGTATATGGAACCCCAGGAGAGGCACCAGGGACATGGACCCAGGCCAGAGGGCTTTTCTGCCCTTCACTGACCCCAAGGCAAGCCTTCAGGAGCTGTACTCATGGATGAATACCAGGGCTCCAGGCAGCCTGACACCCTCCCCACCCCAGCCAGAGTTGTATCTGGGGCAGCTTTCATTCCTAGGCTGGCAAAGGATAGGGTAGGAAAGGCTTTGGAAAATCCAGATGCTGGGCCCAAGGAACAACAAACCTGCTATTTGACGGAGTTTTTCCTTCCCCCTTTAAACACTTGGCTCTTTCTCTCTCAAGGAATAAAATAGTCAAAAAGGATGTGTAAAAAATGGTCTTGTTTCTGTTACTGCCCTGCCAGAAGCCTCTTTTGCATCTTGAGAGTCATGAAGTCTCTTCTGTTCTGTCTCTGGTGGAAATCTAGGTGCTCAGAACTCTCCTACCCACCCCTATGAGCAGTCCCTGCAGCTCCAAATCCAGACCAGGCCCCCAACTCCCTGGGGCTCCCCTGCCAAGGCTGAGGCAAGGTGGGGGTTTGGACATCTTCACCTTTCCAAAGTGAGCAGAGGCAAGAGCTTCTGCTTGGACCACTCACAAAGGCTCTTCTTGATCTCCAACTGAGGGTCAGAGAGACCCGAGAACTAAGGAAGTCTAGCTCTTCTTTTTTGTTTGTTTGAGAGAAATAAGAGCCAAGGTTTTTTTTTTTTTTTTTTTCTTCTTTTTTTTTTTTTTTTGTTTTGGTACTGGAGATTGAACTCAGGTGCACTTTACTATTGAGTCCTTTTATTTTTTATTTTGAGATAGTGTTTTGCTAAGTTGCTGAGGGCCTTGCTAAATTGCTGAAGCTGACCTTGAATATGCAATCCTTCTGCCTCAGTCTCCTGAGGCCCTGGGATTGTAGGTGTGTGCCATTGCACCCAGTGAAGCCTAGCTTCTTGAGAGGGAGGGAAGGGCAAGAGCCAGTGCCTTCTGCAAGAGTAATACAGAGAGAAAGGCTGGGGTTGTGGCTCAGTGGTAGAGTGCTTTGCCTAGCATGTTCAATTCTCAGCACTGCATATAAATAAGCGAATAAAATAAAGGTCCATTAACAACTAAAAATAATGATTTTAAAAAAAGAGCAATACAGAGATAGAGGAGAAAGAGGGAGGGAGGGAGTAGAGAGAATAGGGTTACATGTTAATGACTGATATACTGTGGGTAAGGATGTATGGCAGTTTACCACTAAACATTAGACAGTTAATGCACTGTTTTACAATTAGACATAATTAATGTTATTTAGCACATTAACAAAATAGTGAAGAAAACATTTAGTTAAATTTGATATCTATTCATAAATTTTAAAAAATTTTTAGAAAATTAAGAATAGGATGTTCATAAACCCAGTGTAATAATGGCAAACTGCTAAATGTTTGCTGTCCAAAAAACAAAGGAACAAAACAAAGATGTCTGCTGTCACTACTTATATTTAACATTGTAGTGGAGGTTCCAGCCAGTGCATTTAGGCAAATAAATAAATTAATTAATTAAAACTGAAAGCAAAGAAATAAAACTGTTCTTACTTGCAAATGACATGATTGTGTACTTGAGAAAATTATACACTTAAGACAAACTATGAATAAAATATTACTGTAAGTGACCCAAGCAAAATTGCTGGATTCAAGGCATCATACAAAAATCAAATTGTGTTCTACACACTACAACAAATATATAGAAAATGAAATTAAGAAAATGACATTTATAGTAGCATGAAATAATCAAATACTTAGAAATAAATGGAAGATATGTAAGACTTTGACACAGAGGCTTATAAAATATTAATAAGAGAAGCTTTAAAAGATAGGTCTTCAGGGGCTAAGGTTGTGGCTCAGTGGTAGAGCACTTTCTTAGCATGTGTGAGGCACTGAGTTTGATCCTCAGCACTGCAAATAAATAAATGAATAAAATAAAGTTTCATCGACATCCAAAAATATATTTTAAAAAAGATAGGTCTTCCTAGATTGAAATACTCAATATTTTAAAGTTGTCAATTCTCCATTAATTGATCTATAAATATAATGTAGTCCCAGTGAAAATCTGGACAATTTAAAATATAAAAATAATAGACCATTATAAAATTAATATAGAAAAAAAAGACCTAGGATAGCTAAGATCATCATAAATAACTGTTTTACTCCTTGCTGTACTAGATATCAAAACTTACTATAAATTTAAAGTCATTATGATAGTATAGTACTGACGTAAGAATAGATGAAAAGACAAATGAATCAGAACAGAGAATCCAGAATAGACCCCTACATATAGATATGAATACTTGATTTATGTCACAGGTTCCACTGTAATAAGATGGCAAAACATAAGTTCACTTCAATAAATGGTGGGCAAAAAATTAAACTGGATCCCTAGCTCACACTGTTCACAAAAGGCAATTCTAGTTGGATTATGGGTCTTAATATAAAAATAAAACCAAGGAAACTTATAAAATATCTTCTTTAGAGTAGGAAAATATTTTTCCAAGAGTGTAAGATACTAGTCATACAGAAAATACTGAAAACTTAAGACTACATACAATTAAGAAGTTTCAGTTCACAAAAATTTTATAATGAGAATGAAGAGAAGGGGAACATGGAAGAAATGATAAAAGGAGGTGAGGTCTACATTCGTGGTCAGTGCTTCACATCCATCAGGTCTCTCAAGTTGAGGGTCTTGTGAACATCAGAATTCTAGGCTGATGCCTCCAAAGAACTGGCCCATTCCCTTCCATCATCCAGGGGTTGTTATTACTTCGATTGAGGTGGTTGCAGGGGGGAAAAGCTTGAGGGTTTAAGTGTGGATGGAGTGGGGGAAGGTGGCCACTCCTGACTGAGGAATTAAGAGCTTTAGAGAATCACCAGGAAGAGCGTGTCTCTTTTGGGGGAGAAAGAAACTGTGACGTGAACCTTTTCCTATTTGGAAAAGTTATCCTAGAGAAAAAGAGACTTTGGGGTCCATTTGAACCACCTCAAACATGTTCAATGGTTGCTTGCTTCATCATTTCGAAATTGGTAGTGTGGGTGGGAAATAGACCTTGGTGTGTGTGTGTGTGTGTGTGTGTGTGTGTGTGTGTTTGTGTGTGTTTGTGTGTGCGTGAATGAGAAAGGGTAGTACTGACTCAAATGGTGACTTGAGAAATGTGGGATCGTTTTGAAGACAGATATTATGATTCATCTATATTGATCATGGCATTGACCTATCCTGGGAACCAGCTTGTACCATAGTCCAGCTACCACTCTTGCTCAGTATGGAGTGAAGTTCTTCAGGGAAAGAGCCCTGGGCAGTAGCTGAGAACTGAATGGAACACAGCTTGGACAGACAAGCTCCGGTGCTTTGTAACACAGTGCAAGTAGGAACGGAGTGGGAGGCCAGGCAAGTGCTGAAACTAGGAGAGGATGACTACAGGCAGGACCCTCTGTAAGGTCCCAAGTGAAGTGAATTCCAGGTGTGGACCAAGAACACCAGAGAAAGAAGTAAGAAGTCTCTGAAGGACAGGAGCAGCCCATCTGCCTGGGCAAGTATGTTTATCTAGAAAGCTGCAGGGCATGGGTGCATGGGCTGGGAAGGACAAGTTCCTACAGACCAGAGCCAAGAAGTGCCAAGGAGGGGAAAGAGCAAAGCCTGAGGCACTAAGCTGGACACTTAGCTCACTGGATAGTGGATCAGAAAAGTGGTTTCTAAGGTCAAACAGCCAGACCTTTGTCCAGGGCAGAAATCAGGGAGACAATTGGGATTCTTCCAGGGTGGGGGTGGGTGAGTGCACCTAGGAATCTTGTTTATTACCTTCCTCTCAACCTCTGAGGCAGAACAGCCAGAGAGGCCTGGACCTGGGAGGAGTGAAGAAGGGTTGGGATTTGGCTCAGAGGGGCAGCCCCAGGAGCCCAAAGCTTGCCCTGCCAACTCGGGTGAGGCCGATAGCCTCTTTCAGAGACTGGATCTCAATTCCAAGCCTCTGTGTGTCTGGGTAGTATTTGATTTGCTCTGTACTAGTTCCCAGCAACATCTTTCTAACACCCCCCACCTTGGTGCTGGCTACACAGATGGGCCTTCAGTGGCCTGACTGAGGCCCAGAAAGAGATCTTGGGACTGAGCCCATCTTCTGGGTCCTTAAGCCTGCCAGCCAGCCTCCAAACTTTCCCCCACAGGATCTGAAAGCAGACATTGGCAGGGCATGCTTGCTCAGTTGAACTCTGGGTTGTTTAACAAGGCCAAGGTGCAAGAAGGCAGCCCAGGGCATGCTTTGGATGGGCCCCATGAGAGCTGCAAAACTACTGAGAAAAGCAGACCCACACCAATGAAGGAGACGAGAGAGGCTAGGTGGCCATCTGCATCTGGTTTATTGTTCTATTTTCTCCAGACTTAGAAGAGCAGAGTGTTAGGCCACCTGGGGGGCAGCCAGGTCATTCATGGGGCCAACCAGAGTCAGTGTGTATGAGGGGCCAGAGTTCATGAGACATCCACTTGAGGGAAGACTCAAAATCCAGGAGGCCTGGCAACCCCTCTTCTGTATCCTCCATGCCCAAAGCCCCCACAGGGAGGCATGATGTGAAAAGCATAAATATGCTGGTCTCAAAGGAAGTGGGGGCAGCCACAGGATCCAGCTGCTGATGGAAGCTCCATGGGAGCCTGGGTGGACCGGAGGCTGTTGGGTCCACCTTTTTCACTGGAGAGAAGTCGGGATGCTGGGCCAATTGAGATGGGTCAGATGCAAACAGGACCTTTCCAGGTCACCTCTCCCTGAGCTGTCCTCTTTCCCATGGTCCCCATCCCATGCTCCCCTCACTGACATCCCTGGTCTGCACAGAATCCATCTCTTCCAGAGGAACCGACCCAACAAGCGAGGCCTGGCATCCCAGCACCTCCCTGGGATGCTCTCCTGCCAAGAGCATCAGTACTGTGCTGAGGTTTCCAGCCAGACCCAAGAAAGGGAGATGAGAGAAGCTTGTGAGGCTGAAGGGGCCTTGAGCATAGGGGGAAGGTCTCTCCCTGTTCAGCCCAAGGGTTGAGGTCTGACCACAGCCCTGGCCCTGCATCTGTTTGTACCGCCATCCAGGACATGATTGGGAATCCCGGAGAGACCTCCAGTCCAGGCTCGTGGGGGTAACACCTGCAGACCTGGGGGGGAGAGTGGAGGAGAGAATAAGGTCCTGGAGGAGAACTGGCTGCAAGGGAACAGGAAGTAACTTCTCGTCCCCTGTTAGTTTGGATCAATGGGGTGGGCTATGTGCCTCCAACAGTTATCTAGAGGGGCTCAGGACAGGCAGACTTGGACCCCAGCTCCTCACGCCTTTCGAAGGCCTTTTGGAAAGAGAATCCATCCCAGAGCCAGGGGAGGAGGCAATACCCAGCCAATGACCTACCGTAATTAGGAGTATGCCAGGCCTTGGAGCCCCCGGGCCGGAGAGTGGAACTTGTCAGAATCCTCAAAAGGCTGGTCTGGGATCATTAAGAAGAAAGGATCTGTAAACCCTGCACAGCCTAGTGACCTCACCTGCCTGTGCCCCTCTGGGCTGGAGATAGCAGGCAGGGAATATGATACTTCCCAAAATTACCACCCTTAGCCCTGGCCTGGGGCCAGCACTACAGATGGAAAGCTGAGAGGTGCCCCAAACCTCTCAGGAGGTGCAGCCCTCATTCTTGCTCTTCTAACTTCCTCCAATTCCAAGCTCCTCTTACCAAGCCCACTTTCTTCAGAGGGCCAGTGTCAAGGTGAGGAAAGCAGATAGCCAATGACCAGGACAGTAAGGACAGAGGCCACCTTCCAGAAGCATTGACACCTATGCTCACTAGCAGCATCCTGAGTTCCACGTGAGTGAAATGCATCACTGCCCTGTTCCCTGTCTTGAATAACCTCTTCCAGTGCTTCCATTTGCTGGCAGGAAAACTCAGGACCTTCTGACCTACCTGTCCCTCATATTTTAAGCCCCAGGCACACTGGAGTTAGGACAAATTATCCAAAAATTGGAGATAAGTTTAAAAGGGACTGCATATCCTTTTAAAGTCACTCTGGGACATTTATCTCAAAAGTCTACCTTAAAATTCTCTTATTCTGGGGTTGGGGCTGAAGCTCTGTGGTAGAGCACTGGCCTGTCACATGTGAAGCACTGGGGTCGATCCTCAGTACCACATAAAAAATAAATAAAATAAAGTGTTTTTAAATGCTCTTATTCTGAGGAATATGATTTTTTTTTCTTCTCGACTTATACATACATTACTGGTTAGGGTCCAGGTTTTGTTAAGTTGATGTTAACTTGGAGGAGACTGACAAATAGCAGATGACTTCTATTTGGTAGAAAATATAATCCCCCAAAGCAGATTAGAGTTGACTAGAACCAGCCTACACCGGACAATCTTATTTCAGCATCCTTCATTTCACTTACTTGGGTCTCCCACATTCTCCTTTAGGCCACCCCGTTATCCTGCTAGCTCTCTCACTCATGACTTAAATAAATCTCTGGCATGTTCTGGTATGAGTTATGCCTTTAATGTCTTCAATTTGAGCTCTAACATCCTTGCTTCCCCTTCCACACACCTCTACCTGGAAGCCTCCCCTATTGAGATCCTTCCTCCTCCACTTAGAAAATGAATTCATGGGGCTGGGGTTGTGGCTCAGCGTTAGAGTGCTTGCCTAACATGTGCGAGGCCCTGGGTTCGATCCTCAGCACCACATAAAAATAAATAAGTAAAATAAAGGTATCGTGTCCAACTCCAATTGAAAAAATATTTTTAAAAAAGAAAATGAATTCATTTTTCAAATGCTGCGTGGGTCAGGCCATTTCTGACAGTGGCTCACCCTCCAGATGGTTTACCAAGCAGCCCCGTTCCAGCACAAAATTCTGTAATTACTTGAATCAGCCTGGACTGTTCAGAACAGTCCTGGATAGGGAAGAAGCAGAGCTAAAAAGTTTCTAGACTGCATTGGATTGCTCTGTTCCCTCCTTCACCCCAAAGCACAGCTGTTTTTTTCTGGTGATCAAGCCCCAGGCTTGCTCCACTCTCCTCCAGTGTCTGTTATAAGGAACTTGGGGCACAGAGAACCCATGGGGCACTATTCATAGTTGCTCCCCTGCCTGGGCATGGGAACCATTGCATCTGTCCCTGCCTTAGATCTGGAAATGACTTGGGCTCAGTGTGCTGGCCTTGCTCTTGTGCCTGATCCCAGCAGAAGCAGCTATCACTAGGCTGAGGAAACCACAAGGCTGTCTCTTCCTCGGCCACCCGGGCATTCCCAGGAACTAATCTTGAGAAGTATATTTTGTGCTCAAATAAATTTGTATCTTCTATACCTTAGAAGTTTCATAGTACACTTTAAAGGCTGAATGAATTCTTCAGTAATGTACCCATTTCCTTAATTTGATCGCTGATTCTTTTCTAATGAATACCATTGCATCTGGGGCTATATTCTGGATATGCTCTACCTTGCCTTCGGCCCAGCCTCTTTCAGCTCAGGGCCCCGCAAACTGCACTGCAGTTTCTCTGCATCTGCATTTGAAGGGTATCCCATCGACCATTATTCATTCAGTAATTCAGCCACTAGTTACTAAGCATCTGTTGTGTGTCAGATGCTGAGTTAGGTGCTAAGCTCTGAATTGAGTCCCAGGAGATCTCCTGGAGACATCCCTGTGGCCAGACAGGGAATACCTGTCTTGGGTTCTGGCTCGCTTCCAAGGATCTCTGTCCTCTGGGACCTGCTCTGCTCCACACGCTATTGACTCTGCCTCCTTCCCCACAGCCAGTCTCTCCCTCTGTCTGCTAGTGAGTTTTCAATGACCAGTTGGACAGGAAAGTTCTGCAGCGTGTGTATAATGTGAATGAACAACCATTTCATTAACAGGAACAGGAGGGGTGATTTGATTTCAATGCCTAATCTGTAAAGTAGGGGAGGGAAAGCTAGGTTAAATCTTATCTAAGGTCAGTTCCCTTTCGTTCCTTGAGTGACCCTGTCTCACAGTGGTGTGTGCTACCCTCTGGTGGACACAAGGAGGCACAGGAACAAGGCATGCAGCCCATGTGGGTTCCTCCAGCTCTCAGAATTGGTCTTTGCTCTGCTCAGTTGGATGAGCATATGGAGGTGGTTTCCAGGCCTTCTCCAGCTGGGATTTCCCTCCTTTTAGCCAACGGGCCAGTTTAGAGTCCAGAGTGCTAACCATTCCTAGCTGTGAGGTTCAGGTCCAGATGGGTCTCCTTGAACCCCTGCAGCATTTCCTGCTGAGCACCTGCTGCAGCAAACTGTTCAACCTGCAGGAGGCACTGGTGAGATGTGCGTGGATTGGTCCCCTCCAGCCAAGCCACTGTCTTTGACCTTTCTCACGGGTCATCATGAGTCAGTTTGTATCACTCACCTGGAAGCCCCTCTCCGTGGACTCTGGGGCAGGCCTGGGGTGGGGAGCTGGGTGGACGCAGCACGGGGGCAAAGGCGCTCCTCTGCTTGACGGCGGAGATCATGTTGACAGGCGAGAAGGAGAAGACGCTGGTAGTGGGGGCAGCGGCCGGGAGGGACATGGAGGAGGCAGCCGCCAGCGGGGGGCTAGAGGGCATGACTCCGGGGCGGGGCAGGGAGGGGCAGGCGCAGCAGGGAAGGCAGTGGGAGACACAACAGGGAGACAGCACCAAAGTGAGCAGCAGGGTCACCCGTGTGGGCTGTGGGCCTCGCTTGGGCTGCTGACCAGGCACTAGGCTCAAACCTCTCTGGGGGCTGGGAGGGTCCTGGGGACCAGTACAGGGCCGGGTCTGGAGGTGGGCTGGGAGCCTCTGGGGTCATGGGCCAACCCTCACCTCCTTGGGGGTTCTGGAGACCCTTTCTTGGGGCTGGAGATGACAGGGCCAGACGAGGCAAAAACAAATACAAAACCAGACACTGGGTGATCCCCCAAAGGTAAGAGATGAGTAGGTTAAGGGATTCTGAGATTCTAAAGAAACATTTATGGGCCCTTGAGGTACCAAGGCTAGAGTCAAAAGTTCAGGGATCACAGCAGAACTGGGCACGAAGGGTTGAAGTTTGGGGGTACAGACAGGCTTTTGTGAGGCCTCCCTGCCCACACAAGCACCCTAACTTCATCCATGAATATGTTCTCCTTCTCAATATGCTTTGTCTATCTCTGACTCTGCTTCCTGGGCACTTTGGTTCTTTCCAGCTTAATAATATAGAACTCTGTCATCTCCAGTCTGTACCTTGGAGGTCTCCTCTATCTCTCTTTTCAATTTCAAAGAAAAGCAAGGGATCCCTGTCCTCAAAGCTTCCTGTTCTTCCATTTCTCAGCCATCCAGGGCTGTGGCATGCTCTCCTGGGAACACTGAGAGAGCTTGCAGCCTCCTCTCCTGGAGGCTCCCGCCTAGGCATCTCTGGATCCCACCTCTCTACATCCTCACCTGAACCCAAGTCCCTTCCTCCTCTTCTAAAGACTACTAAAGTCTGTGGTTTGAGCACGTCCAAGCAGCAGGCAATGGACAGTGGATGGGGGCTTCCTGGGAGAAACCTGTAGCCTGAGAAGGATGCCTTTGACATCAGAGCACCCCACTCTGACTTTATTACAATGGTGTCTTCAACAGCTGTCCCCCTTCTAGATCTTCTCAGCCCCATGGTTGAACCTCCTTTAAGACAATGTGTCTGATATCTGGTGAAGCTACAGCCCCAAGGAGGGCTTGAGACTGCGACCATAAAATATACTGCATATCTCAAGGCCCAGAGTGCTTACAGACACATCTTTTAGTTGGGGTAGTACTTAGAGTTTTAGATCATTCCAAGGTTTCTGGAGATTGATGCAAAATAAATAGATAGATAGATAGATAGATAGATAGATAAACCTGAGCAGATAACCCGAGACCCTCTGGCTGGGACAGTTCGGATGTCATTTGAGGATTGTCCTGGCAAACTCAGTGAGAAATGATGCCCCATGCAATCGTGCCACAAAACATCCTACACACAGGGAGTGGATGGGGACCTGGGTAAGCACTTGTGAAGACCGAGATGGAACTGGCCCTTGGCTGAGTCCCGGGTGTCCTGGGATGATGGTGGAAACAGGACTTAAGTAGCTCTGTAATTCTTGGCACACTTGCTGAATGGGGAGAATGCAGGTGGGCTGACTTCTGTACAGCGGGGCAGTTGTGTACCACTGTTGACTGCACTGTGTGTATATGGCAGGGGAGGTGGTGGGGCTGCTAGAGGAGATTCAGAAATGTAAGGGGTGTCCAGAGAAAGGCTGTGAGGGCACTATCCCAGAATTGAAGGGAATTGGAATATTGGAACCTAGCCTGGCCAAGGGATACAGGCCTTGTGAGGGACACCAGAGGTCGAAGCAATGTGTGGATTCTGGCTTATGGTGCTTTGGTTTCTAGAAGTTGAGCTCAGGCCAGAAGGAGAGTGCCAGACTCATCCCCAGCCAGAAAGAACAGTAGTACCCAGGACACAGACCCCTGGCAAGACAACTAGGCCTATGGCTAGATAGCTCTAGTCTCAGCAATGGCAAACAGAGGATAGAGGAGATGAGGGGACTTTTGGCAAAGTCGCCACCAGCTACTTCTTGGGCAGCTCTCATCATTTCTTAGCAGTCTCCCAGGACTTGAGGGACAACCTCTCTTAGGAGTGATAGGGAGGATTCTGATGGGTGAGTAAGGATGGAATTAACCCCCAAGCCCAGTGCTTTGTACACAATAGGTGCATTATAAATGTCTGTTGAGAAGCTATTGATATTGGAAAGGACTGTAGGGCAGTATAGAAAACTCAAGCATAAAGGCAGTTCTGGATGTCACTCACCCGTGACATCCAGCCATTGCCCATCCACCTAGTTCTGAGCCACCCCACTCCAAAAAATCTGAGATAGTAGGAGTTGGATCTGTGAAATCATCCATTCTTCTAGAATGATGCCTGTCCTTTTATGCTCAGTGGCACATTCAGATCTGAGAACCACCGTAGGCAGGGGGTAGTATTGATCTTAGTTTACGGAGAAGAAACTGCACTTCAAAGAAATAATGTCACTTGGGGAATGTCGAACAGCTCCTGATATTGACACTCACATTCTGAGTCCATCTCTGACCACACAGAATTCTCTCGTCCTGCTTGATGGTATTGCGGGGGGCCACAGCCTCATTCCGCCCACCCATCCTTTCAAGATTGTTGGGGGCCCCCCTGAAAGCTCACTTCTTTTGAGCCCTGAGTTTCCATAGACTTCCGGCAGGGGGCGCCAGCCTCTGCCCAAAGTCCTAGCATAGATGGAAAGGTGGCAGTCCAGGATTTCAGCCCAGGTCCTGCCAATTAAAGCTGGTTTCAGGGGGACAGGAGGGCGGAAGGCGATGTGTACAACTGGGGTCATCAAAGAGAGTTAAAAATAAAAGAAGTAACCTGGCCCCAGGACCCCGGGACTCCGAGAGGAGTGAGGTTCAACAGTAGCGAGAGGTCATATGAAGCCACGGTGGACCCTCATGAGTTAGGAGATGGAAGCCCATCCAGGGATGGCCTGGGGGTAAGGACAATTCCCATTCTGCTTCCCCAGATTCCGGGTTCCCTCACCCCACAGGCAGGGGGCACTCACTGGCGAAAGGCGAGGTGGCGGTAGAGCCATTGAGGAAACTAGGGGAACCTGGCACACCAAGACCGGCCACACCTGGTGCACCGTAGCCGCTGAGGCCCGCTCCAAGGCCACTGCCATAGCTACTCTGCTGTGAGCCAGGGCTAGGCGCGAACCCGCGGGGGGACGCGCTGCTGCAGCTGCGAGCGTAGCCTGCAAGAGAGCAGCGGTCAGGGGATCCGCGCTGGCAGTGTGGGGGCCATCCAGGCGCCCAGGGACTGCGGGGAAAGGCAACGGGACGCACCGGGCTCGGGCCCCGGCGTGGCGTCCCCGACAGCGATTGCCAGCGGGCTGCTGAAGGCATTGATGCCCACGACGGCAGGGTGCGGGTGGCTCGGCGCCAGGGGTCCGAGCGGTGCAGGCGCGCGGGGGGCGCTGTACAGAGCCTCGGCCACGTCCGCCGCGCGCTTCAGGAGGAGCTCCTGCGAAGACAAGAGCAGGGCACGGCCGGGGCAGCCACAGGCACCGGGTGGGGGACAGCCCTGGGCCCAGCGGCGCTAGGAGGCGGGCGGAAGCGCCATACCTGGTTACTGCTGGGCACGCCGTACAGGGCCTCCGCCAAGTCAGCCGCCCGCTTTAGCAGCACTTCCTGGGGGTAGGGGAGGAGACAGCACGACGGAGGGGGCAGCCCCTGGGGGCCGCGGAGGGACCCTCTGAAGGCCCTCCTCACCCGCTCGCCCTCAGGACACCTTCGTCCCCATCCCGCTCCTTTGAGTACCTTGGGCAGCCTCTCGGGGTCTCCAGGGTGTCTGGGGATGACTTTCTGCAGCCTCTGGAATCCGTAGTCAATGGTGGGCTCGTTCAGGGCTGGAGAGAGGGTGGTGTTTGGAGGACAAACCCTTCTCAGAGAGGGGAAGCAGGACATAAAATGCATGCAATTGACCTATCCAGAAACCTCGTTGCAGAACTCGTCTGCCATATCCAGCCAAATGCCAGGAGACACCCCCCCACACACACACAGGCATAGGGATCAGAGAGATTCTGGGAAGTTTCCTCCATTCCTTGGTTTATTCATTCATAAATATTTACTGAGCCAGGCTCCATACCAGGCACTTGACATTAACACACACGCACTATATGGTCCTATATGAGCTTGGCGGGGGGGGGGGGGGCTGTATATGCATATTAGTTTCTATATTCCCAGGGGGCAGAACTCTTCTCCGTTTGCATTTGGTCATATCAGGAGTTTATTATAAAAAAGAAAACCCGATCATCTCAGCAGTATCTGAGGGTTAGAGGTTTGCATGCACCCCAGGAAAGGAACTGTCCCACACCCTGGGTTCTTAGGAGTATGTAGCAGCCTCCTAACCTGGCTCCCTGTATCTTTCCCTGTTCTCTGGACCTCCCTCCTCCTCCTCTTTCTCTCCCCCTCCATCCCCTTCCTTCACCTCCCTGGAAACTCTGGAACGGACCTATAACACACCAGTTTCAAAGCCATACCTTTTCCATTTCCAGCTCAGATTTAGTTAATTTCCTTTCGTTTGCCCCAGAGCTTAAAGTACTCATTGCCGGGTCTTTGCGATGGCCATTTCTTCTCCCACGACAGCCCTTCCTTCCGGATGTCTACCTCCCCATTCATCTCTCCAGTTTCAGCCTAGCCCTGTACAGCCCACACTTCCTTGAGGGCAGGTTTTCTGTCCCTCAAGTCCTGGACGGTGTAACTCCACCCACCCCACTCTAGTGGCTGCTCAGTCTCCCCGGATTAGACGCGAGCTCCCTGAGGGTAAGTTGGGTCACTATGCAGTGGCGGTGGGAGGAAGAGATAGGGAGAGGACCCAGGTCAGGGGACAGCACCAAGGTGAGGAACTGGAGGCTGGCTTGGGCTGGGGCTGGGCTAGGGAAAGAAGAACCAGACTGAGGAGGAGTCATAGAATACAGGCGGGTATAGGGAATGGTGAAGGTGGGGCAGCCGCCGAGGTGACAGGTTACACGAAAGGCATTGGTTAACAAAGGGAATACACCAGGAACAGTGTTAGGGCACCGCGGGTAGGACCTCCCCTCTGCCTCTTGATTCCTTACCTGTGTAGACAAAGCGGCCAGGGGCTCCCTTGCAAAACTGCTTGGACTTGTAGGAGAGGGTCACCTCCACAACCCCGGGAATGTGTCGCGGGGGCGTCTGCACCCGGATGGCGTGGGGCGTGATGAGCTGCTAGGGGAGAGGGGAGGCCTGCAGGTCCCATCCGGAGGGGAAGGCCCAGCCCGAGGCCCCCGGAAGGAGACTGGCGGGGATGGCCCACCTCGCTCCACACGAGCACGTTTCCAAACACGACCTGCAACCCGTCGAAGAAGTTGTCGCCGATGACAATGACGGTGGCGCCGCCCGTGGTCCAGCCCTCCCCGGGGCTGATGGCCTTGATGCAGGGAGTGGCAGCTGGGAGGCAGGAGAGGACCCAGGTCAGGGGACCGCGCTAAGGCGGGGTCTGGGGCTGGCCAGGGATGGGCCAGGAGTCCTGACCTTCGGAGGGATCCAGGCGGCGTGCCCTGCGGCCATGCTTGGAGTTGTTGTGCACAAACATGTTGTCGGACACAGCCAGCACGTGCCCGTCCACGCTCACCGTGGTGGACACCACCACCTGTGGGGAGACCCACACCAATCTGGCTGGAGCCCTCAGGGATCTCCCGGGAGGGAGGGAACTCTGGTGGGGAAGTAGCAATTTGAGGCTGGTAGCTGAATACTAGAACTTGGGGATGGGGAGGGAGCTTCAGCTCCTTGGTTCTGAGCTGGTGGAAATGGGGCCACCTGGATCAGGTAACACTCCCAGATAAGCTGACTCCCCAGGAGCTAGAAAATCAAAGCTTTGGGAAAAACTTTGGTTCCTTAGGCAGAGTGGTCGCTGGTGCACACCCAGGAACACCAGGGCTTCAAGGCAGAAATGAGATCTTAGACAAATAAGGGGGGGGGGTGTGCATCAGCTGGAGAACCCATCAGCAGGAGCCCCCACCCTGTTCTGGGGAGGAAGTTGGGGCTGCCTTCTCCCTGAACTGGGAGGGGTATGCAGGTTGGGGATGTGTTAAGGGCAGCTGCTCTCTGCTTCACACTATGCAAATTACCTGGGTCGTTAATCATGTAAAAATGTCACAATTAGCATCTTCTTAAGTGGGACTCTAATGAAGCCTCCCTTGGCAGCCAGCACAAGTTGAGATGGAGCTACCCCACCCCCAGCAGGCACCAGGCCGTGGAGGCACAGGGTTGAACAGAGATCTGCCCTGGCAGGGTCTCAGCCTTCCTTTCCTGCTCCCCTCCCTATCGGGAAAGGGTGGGTTTGCAGGGGAGGCTCTCCCCAAACCCACCTGGAAGCGGCGCATGTCTCGGGGATTCCCTGCATTCTTCAGGCAGTTCTGGTTGCATTTGAGAAAAAATTTGAGGAAGAACCTGAAACAATGAGGTCGTTGGGCTCAAGGTTCTGGAAACAGATGATCAAGTGCTCCCTGCCAGTCCCCCTACCAGCAAAGTAACTATGGTCTGTGTGCTCATGTGCAGGGACATACCCCATATTCCCATCACTAACTGTGTATGCACAGGTACTTGGTACACACCAAACAGATCCATCATAAGAACCACCTCACTACACAGAATACTCACCATGAGCACTCAGTGTATGAACCGTGTAGTGCTTATTTGTCCACAAAATGTATTATCTGTTATATGTACTGAAGTATATGTACCTATTATTCATCATTATACCCGTCACACTGTATAACATCACACAATGTATACACCAAATGTAGCATGTATTTACACTTAGCCAGTGAAAACTTGTCACATGCTATGTATGTCTGTTATAACATATGCCCAACACACATACAGTACATCAATCACAGGGCACATCTTTCCCCCTGAGTAAACCCATCACCATTACAATGTATATTCACCATAAAAAGCATATCCAATATAGAGACTGTGTTTGCCTTATATATTATTACTCACAAAATAGAGCAATCACACAAGTATATATAATATGTATTCCATGTATGGCTATACTCATCCCACATATATGATATACTAGCTATACATAAGTCTATACCCACCATGTACCATGTATGCCCTGCCTACAGAGTATATGCACAGAAACAATATGGAATACAGTGAACACATTAATATACCATTTTCTGTTGTACATGATTACCCAAAATACAATCATTGCAAATACTATATAGCTATCCCACATAGCAGAAACCCCCTCAGCAGATCCCTCTCACATATTCTATATCCATTATACACATAGCAAAACCTAATCAACAGAGCACATACCCACCAAACAGATACGCAGTGACTATCTTCTTCTTCTTCTTCTTCTTCTTTTTTTTTTTCCCCTAGTCTACAGTAGTTGGGGAAAAAAAATCACCATGTATTCTTTCAAACTTATCCTGAAACCATGGTTTTCAAAGACTGGTGCCCAGGCCAGCAGCGTCAGCATCACCCAGGAACTTGCTAGAAATGCAAAACCAGGCCCCACTCTAGACCTGCTAGATCCAAACTCTTGTTGGGGTGTGGCCCAGACATGTGTTCTTATAAGCCCTCCAGGTAATTCCAATGCACCCTAAAGCTTGAGAACCTGCTGTAAAACTGTACTACCCGTAGCTGCTAGCCCTACATGGCACTGAACCCTTGAAATGTGGCTAGTCCCAATTTGAGATGTACACATCAGATTTCCAAGACTTACTTTTAAAAAAAGGAATATAAAAAATTATTATATTTATTGTGAGGTGAAATGATAATATTTTAGATTGGATTAAAATATCACATTTAATTTTATCAGTTTCTTCTTATTTTTTAAAATGTGGCTACTAAAAAATTTAACCTTACATGTGTGACTTGCATTATATTAGACAATGCTGTTTTGGTGTCTTATTTTAGCAAAGTCACCTCTGAGCATCTGATTTTCTAGGGGAAAGTGACTCATATTTATTATCAATTGGGGCCCAGACTGTAAAGTTAGGGGCTAATTTGCGGAGAACTGACAAGATACAAATGACATTGTTAAAAGAAGTAAGAAATTAGCCCTGAGCTGGACATGGTGGCTCAGGAGGCTGAGGCAGGAGGATTGCAATTTCAAAGCCAGTCTTGGCAACTTAGCAAGGCACTGAGATTGTCCCTAAATAAAATACAAAATAAAAAAGGGGTTGGTCAGTGGTTAAGTGCTCCCAAGTTCAATCCCTGGTACCAAAAAAGAAAAAAAGAAAAAGAAAAAGAAAATAGCCCTCAAGGTTGCAATTTTATTTTCCTATGGACATTACCTAGCTCTGATTTGGCAGTTGTAGTCTAGCATTTTTCACACACACCCTTTCTTTCTCCTCCCCTCCACTCCCTTCATATTTATGTATAGATTTCTCTTAGTCTTTTTTTAAAAATTAAAATTTTTTTTTGTTTAGTTATACTTGGACACAATACCTTTATTTATTTATTTTTATGTGGTACTGAGGATCGAACCCAGGGCCTCGCAAATGCGAGGCGAGCGCTCTACTGCTGAGCCGCAACCCCAGCCCCTTAGTCTTTTTTTTAATTTTTTTTTTTTAGTTGTAAGTGGACACAATATCTTTATTTATTTATTTTTCTGTGGTGCTGAGATTCTAACTCAGTGCTTCATGCATGCAAGGCAAGTAATTACCACTGAGCCACAACCCCAGGCCCCTCCCTTAGTCTTTTTTGAGCCAGCTTTGTCATCCCACTGGTTCTCTCACTGATAAGTTACAGAAAACTGCAATGCATGCTCAGTAACAATTTATATGAGTATCATGCTTTATTACATTTGAAGATCGTGCTTTGGCAAAGTTGATTGTCCCTCATAATCTCCTGCCTTCCAGGGCTGGGCCAGAGTTGAAAGACTTCTGGTAAGGTCTAGGAGAACCAGGAGTAGTACCCAAAGCTCTCTTTTGTCCTGCAGTGCCCAGTCCCTAGAGTGCCTGCTTTCTGCTGCGGGTTGGTGCTGGGGCTGGCTCCATCCTCTTTCCCCTCCCCTGGGAGCCCACACCATGGAGGCTGGAGGGGCTCCCTCCATAGGCTGACACACGTGAGGTGTCATTTTATTCCACCTGAGCAGTAGGGAAAGGATGATAACAGAGTAAGGAGAAATAGAGGGAGCAGTTCCTCTAAGCCATGTCTGAGCAGAGGCCAGATGTGGGAGAGGGTCAGAGAACCTGGGGGGAAGGGGAGTTGGAGAGAGATGAATACACATGTGGATATGGAAACTGAGGAACCGTGTTCTCCTTGAAGGAAGAGAGCCTGGGCAAGGGCTCGGCCAGTGAAGGTGAGGCTCTAGAGTCTGGGACACCCTCTCGGGACATGTGGCAGGTAGGCATGTTTTGTTGAGGGGCTCTGAATCACCAAGAAAATGTCCTTCATCCCCAAAGTCTGGATGTCTGCTGAGCAGCCATCCTGACCCTTGGCATGATGGGGCTGGGAGGAATTTAGAGATGTCCCCTTTCCTGACTGGGAGGGGCTACAGGCTGGGGGAAGCAAGGCAAGCCGAGCCCACAGCTCTGGCTGACCCTGTGCCCCACTGGGGTGAGCAGTACAGGACTGTGCCCAACGCCATCCCCATTAGTGGTCATGAGGATCTCAAGAAGCATGGTTGCCTCATGTTGACCATGTCATAGAATGGGTGGTATGAGAAAGTTCAAATCCCAGGAGCTGCCATAGAATTACTGTATGAAAGTACTATAAATACAAGTACATAATGCTTCAGGGAGAGAGCTTCACAAACAAACGAAGGAACAAAAATCCAAAAAAAACCTCAAAGTGAACCAGGTCTAATCTTAATCAAGCCTGGAACTCTGCTGAGTTTGTCACTTGGCATTGTCTTGTTTAATCCTCTCAAAACCCTGAGGTGGTCTGCAACCATTCCCACTTTACAGATGAGAAAACCAAGGTTAAGCAGGAATAAATTACAGCGTAATTTATTACTGGCATTACAGTAAATGCCAATGTCAGAATTTGAACTTGAGTCTTTATGAACCTCTGATGCTGACAAGAGTCCTGGAAAAGTCCCTCTAAGTGGGGCTACCAGAGTTGTACCTTTCCCACACACCAAGCTGCTGCTGCTGCAAGACCATGCAGCATGTCCTTCAAAAGCATCCCTGAAAGGCATCCCGTGCAGGGACCAGTAGAGCTATTTGATGGGGATTTCCTCAAGGTTACAAATTTGCACCTAGTTTTGGACCTTTGGATGCTTAGACTATTGCTCGGTCTGAGATTTTCAGGATTAAGAAATAATTGAGGGTTCGGAATGTGGCTCAAGTGGTAGCGCGCTCGCCTGGCATGCATGAGGCACTGGGTTCGATCCTCAGCACCACATAAAAATAAAATGAAGATATTGTGTTCATATAAACTAAAAAATAAAAATATTTAAAAAATTTTTTTAAAAAGAAATAATTGAATGAGATGAGCTTAGAGTTGATAATTATTAAAAATAATCATCAGTGTTATATATGGTTTATTATTCTATTCTGCCCATATGTTCAACATTCTTCATAATAAAAAAATGTAATAAAAGACCAAACGAAGAGCTGTGAATAGTGGTCATTCAGCTAATAAAACATTTAAAGTGGGGCTGGGGCTGGGGTTCAGCGGCAGCTCACTTGCCTAGCATGTGTGAGGCACTGGGTTCGATTCTCAGCACCGCATATAAATAAATAAAATAAAGGTCTATCACCAATTAAAATATATTTAAAAAAAACATTTAAAGTGTGATAATTATGCATCATGATGCCATGGTTTCAATGAAAGGTAAGAGTGCCTCACCTGCACATCTTCCTTACTACATCCTGAACTTGGTCTAGCCTTCCTAATCACCTTTATAAAGGCTATTTATTCCTCCCAGTAAAAATAGCTTAAGATGGAATTAAAATGAGCCTTTTTGGTTGATGGAATATTCCCTACCAAAGAAGCAAATGCTGGGTTGATTATGATTCAAGTGCACACACTGGACTTACACACAACTTCTCAAGGGTGACACCATTGCATCAGGAAATCTCCCCAGCACAGTGCTTTACTTAAAAGACACACTCAATAGATGAGGAAAATGTGGAGGAATGGATGTGAGTCCACTGCTAGACTCTGGGTTCACAGGGATGGAGAGCAGAGTGGGATGGGTCTGCTCTCTGGAAGGCAATGTCCAGGGGTGGTACAGTGGGATACCTGCTCAGATTCTGTCTAGCATTCCCCCGCTGCTGTGAGTGTTGGCTGTTAAAGGGCTCACAGCTGCCTCATTACCTGATAATTACCCCAAACCAGGAGCATATCCTTCCTGCCTGTAGCCCACAGCCAATGACAGATTGAAGTAACAAGAAGGACCAGTTCTTGGGACCATTCATACTTTTGGGACCATTGCCACCACATTGGATCAGCAAGCTAAACCTCCAAGCTCCATAAAC